AAAGTATTCACACCCCTGACTTTTGCCACATTTTGTTGTGTTACAGCCTGAATTTAAAATGTATTAAATTGAGATTTTGTGTCACTGGCCTACACACAATACCTCATAATGTCAAAGTGGAATTATGTTTTTCAAATTTTTTACAAATTAATAACAAATGAAAAGTTGAAATGTCTTGAGTGACTAAGTATTCAACCCCTTTGTTATGGCAAGCCTAAATAAGTTCAGGAGTAAACGTTTGCTTAACAAGCCACATAATAAGTTGCATGGACTCTGTGTGCAATAATAGTGTTTAACATGATTTTTGAATTACTACCTCATCTCTGTACCCAACACATACAATTATCAGTAAGGTACCTCAGTCGAGCAGTGAATTTCAAACACAGATTCAACCACAAAGACCAGGGAGGTTTTCCAATGCCTCGCAAAGAAGGGCACCTATTGGTAGATGGGTAAAAATTGAAAAAGCAGACATTGAATATCCTTTTGAGCGTGGTGAAGTTATCAATGACACTTTGGATGGTGTATCAATACACCCAGTCACTACAAAGATACAGGCGTCCTTCCTAACTCAATTGCTGGAGAGGAAGGAAACCGCTCAGGGATTTCACCATGAGGCCAATGGTGACTTAAAAACAGTTACAGAGTTCAATGGCTGTGATGGAGGATGGATCAACAACATTGTAGTTACTCCACAATACTAACCTAATTGACAGATTGAAAAGAAGGAAGCCTATACAGAATAAAAAATATTCCAAAACACACATCCTGTTTGCAACAAGGCACTAAAGTAATACTGCAAAAAATGTGGCAAAGCAATTCACTTTTTGTCCTGAATACAAAGCGTTATATTTGGGGGAAATCCAATACAACAAATTACTGAGTACCACTCTTCATATTTTCAAGCATAGTGAAGCGTTATATTTGGGGGAAATCCAATACAACAAATTACTGAGTACCACTCTTCATATTTTCAAGCATAGTGGTGGCTGCATCATGTTATGTGTATGCTTGTAATCGTTAAGGACTGGGGAGTTTTGCAGGATAAAAAAGAAAGGGAATGGAGCTAAGCACAGGCAAGATCCTAGACAAAAACCTGGTTCAGTCTGCTTTCCACCAGACACTGGGAGATTAATTCACCTTTCAGCAGGACAATAACCTACAACACAAAGACAAATCTACACTGGAGTTTCTTACCAAGAAGACAGTGAATGTTCCTGAGTGGCCGAGTTACAGTTTTGACTTAAATCTGCTTGAAAACCTATGGCAAGGAAAGGTGTTTCCTCCGACACATTGGTGCGGCTGGCTTCCGGGTTAAGTCGGCGGGTGTTAAGGAGCGCGGTTTTGTGGGTCACGTTTCGGAGGACACCATTTTTTTTTTATTTTTTTTATTTAACCTTTATTTAACCAGGTAAGCCAGTTGAGAACAGGTTCTCATTTACAACTGCGACCTGGCCAAGATAAAGCAAAGCAGTGCAATAAAAACAACACAGAGTTACATATGGGGTAAAAAACATAAAGTCAAAAATACAACAGAAAAATATATATACAGTGTGTGCAAATGTAGCAAGTTATGGAGGTAAGGCAATAAATAGGCTATAGTGCAAAATAATTACAATAGTATTAACACTGGAATGCTAGATGTGCAAGAGATTATGTGCAAATAGAGATACTGGGGTGCAAAAGAGCAAAATAAATAACAATATAGGGATGAGGTAGTTGGGTGAGCTAATTTCAGATGGGCTGTGTACAGGTGCAGTGATCGGTAAGGTGCTCTGACAACTGATGCTTAAAGTTATTGAGGGAGATAAGAGTCTCCAGCTTCAGAGATTTTTGCAATTCGTTCCAGTCATTGGCAGCAGAGAACTGGAAGGAATTGCGGCCAAAGGAGGTGTTGGCTTTGGGAATGACCAGTGAGAAATACCTGCTGGAGCGCAGACTACGGGTGGGTGCTGCTATGGTGACCAATGAGCTAAGATAAGGCGGGGATTTGCCTAGCAGTGATTTATAGATGGCCTGGAGCCAGTGGGTTTGACGACGAACATGTAGTGAGGACCAGCCAACAAGAGCGTACAGGTCACAGTGGTGGGTAGTGTATGGGGCTTTGGAGACAAAACGGATGGCACTGTGATAGACTACATCCAATTTGCTGAGTAGAGTGTTGGAGGCTATTTTGTAAATGACATCGCCGAAGTCAAGGATCGGTAGGATAGTCAGTTTTACGAGGGCATGTTTGGCAGCATGAGTGAAGGAGGCTTTGTTGCGAAATAGGAAGCCGATTCTAGATTTAACTTTGGATTGGAGATTCTTTATGTGAGTCTGGAAGTTGAGTTTACAGTCTAACCAGACACCTAGGTATTTGTAGTTGTCCACATACTCTAGGTCAGACCCGTCGAGAGTGGTGATTCTAGTCGGGTGGGCGGGTGCCAGCAGCGTTCGATTGAAAAGCATGCATTTAGTTTTACTAGTGTTTAAGAGCAGTTGGAGGCTACTGAAGGATTGTTGTATGGCATTGAAGCTCGTTTGGAGGTTTGTTAACACAGTGTCCAATGAAGGGCCAGATGTATACAAAATGGTGTCGTCTGCGTAGAGGTGGATCTGAGAGTCACCAGCAGCAAGAGCGACATCATTGATATACACGGAGAAAAGTGTCGGCCCAAGAATTGAACCCTGTGGCACCCCCATAGAGACTGCCATAGGCCAGACAACAGGCCCTCCGATTTGACACACTGAACTCTATCTGAGAAGTAGTTGGTGAACCAGGCGAGGCAGTCATTTGAGAAACCAAGGCTATTTAGTCTGCTATATTTAGGCTACATTACTCGACCGTCGCCTCTCCCGAGCCCATTGGGGAGTTGCAGCAATGAGACAAGATTGTAATTGCATCGCAATTGGATATCACGAAATTGGGGAGAAAAAGGGGGTAATTTTTTTAAACAAATAAAATAAGAAATATGGCAAGACTTAAATGGTTGTCTAGCAATGATCAACAATCAATTTGACAGAGCTTGAAGATTTTTTAAAATAATAATGTGCAAATATCGTACAATCGAGGTGTGCAAAGCTCTTAGAGGCTTACCTAGAAAGACTCACACCTGTAATTGCTGCCAAATGTGATTATAACATGTATTGACTCAGGGGTGTGAATACTTATGCAAATTAGATATTTCTGTATGTTGTGTAGATAGTGAGAAAAAATCTATTTAATCCATTTTGAATTCAGGCTGTAACACAACAAAATGTGGATTAAGTCAAGGGGTATGAATACATTCTGAAGGCACTGTATCTGCACATATGTGACGTAGTACGCAATTCTCGGGGAACACTTTTGGCTCGTGAGTGCTACTTTCAGAACTACTGGCAAAAAAGTATACAAAAGTACAGAAGAATCTCTTTAATGTTTAATTATTTTATCAATTAAATAATGTTGCATATTGCATTTACAACACAACAGTACAACAACAAATCAAAATACCCCAAAAATAACTTGAAACATATGTTTTAAATGCAATGTATTTTTATTACTATTCTAAAGACATTAAATTATAAACAAACAATGGAAGTCTTCAAAGGTGGCAGTCTCCATGTGATCTCATTTGGAGATTTAATATCTGCAGCTTTTATTCAATATCACTTGGTTTAAGAAGTAGTCCTCAGTCTTAATTGACGCAAACCTCAGTGAGCCAAGCAGTGGCAATAGCATCAGATCGCCTTCTAGCCTCCTTGGAGATTCTCACAGCCTCATAGAGAACCACTATTACGATGAAGCTATAGAAAACGGGCCCCAAAATCAGGTTCACCTTCACAAGTGGCTCGGAGTAAGAAGGGTCAGTCAATATGTTGACTCTGGGTTTGATCTTCAGGGTGCTCTTCACCAATGACTTAAAATTGGTCTCTTTTGTAGCATCAGGGTTGTTCTGAACAGAGTGGTCCTTCACTGGCATCAATGGCTTGTGCTCTGGAACATAATTCAGGGGCAGGGACTCATCAAAGTCCGGGTGGTCTATGACATTTTTTGAGGAATATCCTTTTGTCAACTGGCCCACGTTACCTGGAGAAGAATCGTCTTTCACCCGTAAACTCGCAAGTTGTTCCAGCAATGACTTAAAATTGGTCTCTTTTGTATTATCAGGGTTGTTCTGAACAGAGTGGTCCTTCACTGGCATCAATGGCTTGTGCTCTGGAACATAATTCAGGGGCAGGGACTCATCAAAGTCCGGGTGGTCTATGACATTTTTTGAGGAATATCCTTTTGTCAACTGGCCCACGTTACCTGGAGAAGAATCGTCTTTCACCCGTAAACTCACAAGTTGTTCCAGCAATGACTTAAAATTGGTCTCTTTTGTAGCATCAGGGTTGTTCTGAACAGAGTGGTCCTTCACTGGCATCAACGGCTTGTGCTCTGGAACATAATTCAGGGGCAGGGACTCATCAAAGTCCGGGTGGTCTATGACATTTTTTGAGGAATATCCTTTTGTCAACTGGCCCACGTTACCTGGAGAAGAATCGTCTTTCACCCGTAAACTCACAAGTCGTTCCAGCAATGACTTAAAATTGGTCTCTTTTGTAGCATCAGGGTTGTTCAGAATAGGGTGGTCCTTCACTGGCATCAAAGTCTTGTGCTCTGAAGACACCAACACATTTGCAGCAACAAACGATAGGAGACAGAAAATAACAGCCAACAATAACATCTTCATGTTGCACAGCCCACCCTTCTGGGAGAGCTGTGCCATTTTGATTAAAGAAATCGTCTTTCAAAAGTAGGCAGTACAAATTACAAGTCAAACTACTAGTTGGCTAGCTGTGCTTTGTAAAAGTGAATTGGGTTTACTGTTCACTGTCAAACATACACAAGATATGGACCCAACATGATGTAATAGAAGAATCGATTATGACATCACAACTACCAGAATGTTTATAGTGGGACTGTCATGAAACATAATATTATATGGACCCAGTATGTTACAAGAGTTCTAGAATGTTGACAGTGGACAATCAACAACTCTGTAACCTGCTCTTCATTGTATTCATTAATTCATTATAATTAATTAATTCATTTATTTCTATGGATACATTTGGCAATATGTTTGATGCGCAGTCCCTGTCCCTTAACTGGGGCGGGTCTCACGTCCGACATGCTTTTTCAGACAACTTTGGCAAACGCCCCCGTGACCTACAGCTCCTCATATACTACCAGGTCATGGTAGTATCTACACTGGTGCTGGTGCTTGCGATGACCTAGCTCATTATGAGCTTTCTGACCCGGGGAGTGAGACACTTTTGGGCCTTGCTAGTGGCCCGCACCGCCCCCCTCAGGGAGAGGTTCTGCAGGCTTCTCTACCGCCTCACCGGCCGAAAGAGGAGAGGGAAAATGATGTGGGCTCCACAACTGTTTAGCAAAAAAATAAAATAATAATAATTGAGTTAATAAAGCCGCATACAAACATGGTCTCTTTTTTGCTTTCTTGAGTAAGGCAGCTCCAAAATGCAGGTGTTTCAGCCTAGCTCAGTGCTTTCTGTGGTGGTGGGGCAGCCAACGGAAAATATGGAGCGTAGGGGTTGGTAATGTTTTCTAGTTGCGCCTTGATTGGCTCAGTGTTCTGTCACTCATGGGGACACTACGTCACCGCAAACTCTACGGAGAGAGCTCGAAAATTCAAGCCCCTTGGGTGCTGCCATAGAGTTACATTAGAAGTGCCCATCCAGGCCTCCCGAGTAGCGCAGTGGTCTAAGGCACTGCATCGCAGTGCTAGCTGTGCCACTAGAGATCCTGGTTTGAGTCCAGGCTCTGTCGCAGCCGGCCGCGACCGGGAGACCCATGGGGCGGCGCACAATTGGCCCAGCGTCGTCCAGGTTAGGGGAGGGTTTGGCCGGCAGGGGTATTCTTGTCCCATCGCACACTAGCGACTCCTGTGGCGGGCCGGGCGCAGTGCATACTGACACGGTCGCCAGGTGTACGGTGTTCCCTCCGACACATTGGTGCGACTGGCTTCCAGCTTCCTGAGGACGCACGGCTGTCGAACTTCGCCTCTCCCGAGTGCGTACGGGAGAGGCGAAGGGACAATTGGATACCACAAAAAAGGGGTAAAATAATAAAATAAAATAAAAAGAAGATAAATTGGACAGATAAAATCACGTTATATCTACCGTAGCTTTGATTGGACTGATCATGTCAACATCATACTTTCAAAATCTTAGCTAGCAGTCATCATCATGAATCTACTGGCAAATCCTTTTCGATCCTTGTAATATGAAGATCAATTATGAACAGAAATGATAGACAAAACATTATTGGACATAAACAGTACACAACAAGTTGGAAATCACAGTTATAGTCCAATGAATGTATTGTTTAGAGTTGTGTTGTGTAGTGGTTTTGCTGGCATGCAACAAATATTTTCTATTTATTTTTTCCCACCAAGATTTACATGCTAAAATCGCCACTGCATAAATAACCATACCGGTTTACATTCACATTAGCCAGGAGAAATCACAGATGCTTCCAATGCTTCACCAGGCCAATGCTTCACCAGGCCAGAGATCATTCAGGAGATGGACATGGACAGTCGACCCGCCTGAAGAACACCCTGATGCTGTTGCTGCTGTGAATACCACTCAGGCCAAAGTGAACAGCACCAAAGGCCAGTAAATAGAGAGCCGGCACCGCAAGTACAGGCACTGCTGAGGCCTGATAGTCAGTCAGGGGTGTGGATTGCTCTAAATGAGGACACATCGTTGAGCAACATGACATTATATATTATTGGGTAATCACAATTATGATTTTGCACTTGAGCAATACAAAATGTTTTACCTGTCATTGCAGTTTCCGTCGTTCTATTGAATTGAACGTTTAAAAATATCCAGATGATACAGTTTACAGCTGATAAGACGTCATGTTACAAGGCCCTACTCTGGGAAGTACTGGTAAATATAAAGGTAAATGGTGAACGACGATCAAGATACGGTGGCGCTCCACATAAGTGCTACTTACAGTACTACTACTACTAGCGTAGTAGGTGCATAAACGCTATTTGCAACACTGAGAGTACACAGTGCTTGTAAAAGCACTGTTTGTAAAATATAATGTGTTCTCAATGATTCACCTTTAAATAAATACCCTCCACTACATCCCTAGTCCTACAGTCATACAGTATAGAGGTAATTCACACTGAACACAGGAAAGAGGAACTTTGAAACAGGGACACTTCATTTCCAGTTGGACAACATCATGGAAGACATGGGGTCGCTCCCCACTCAATAATGGCTGGCTATTGTGAGGATAGACTTGTGCGGTCATAGCAAATATCTTGAATTATAAATGAGGGATAGAATTGGCTTAGGGGGTAGATTAATGGAGCCTTGCATGACCCTCTTTGGCGTGGTGTGTGCGTGTGTGTGTGTGTGTGTGTGTGTGTTCTAGCATTCTAGGAATGGGTTACTGAACAGTCTGAGGTCTATCAGTGAAAGTGAGTGAGTATGGAGGAGATGGATGCGTTTCCCATGGGGATGAGGCGGAGAAGCATCTAGGCCATTGATTTTCAATGTTCCCTGTGTTTTTAATGGGCACCACGACCAGGAGTAGATCAAGCCAACCAGACACACACACACACACCGACTACATAGCGCTTTTGAGTTTCATTTATCATTCTGTTGCTTTTAACTCTACCTACTCTCACTCACTTTTAGACTTGAGCATGAACCCAAGCTAGGTGTCCTTCTCTCTCATCTCATCTGGGCAGGCTTTCAAGAAGCCAACATCTGATAGAGGTCATAAAATCTCCTCATGAATTAATGAGAGCCTGTTGTGCCAATACCAGAGTGGGACTCCATTTCAATCTGAGAGAAATGCAACAGAGCATGGAGGTGGAGATCTACAGTCTATACTGTGTGGTTGTGTGTGTGAGAGAGAGAGAGAGAGAGAGAGAGAGAGAGAGAGAGAGAGAGAGAGAGAGAGAGAGAGAGAGAGAGAGAGAGAGAGAGAGAGAGAGAGAGAGAGAGAGAGAGAGAGAGAGTGTGAGTGTGAGTGAAAGAGACAGGGGGCAAGTGTTTGGTCATTGAGCGAGCGTGGGGATAAGTGTATGGTTAATTACTGCCACTGTTTCTGTCAGCAAGCAGGCGACTAGCTCGGGCTCCAGTGGAGTGGCTGGCCACTCTAGCCTCCCCTCCTTGTGTCTGTCTCCTTCACTTCCCAACCCCTAGTCTCTCTGCTTGACTTCTCCTCTCCTCTCATCTCTGTCTTTACTTAGTCTCCCTCCTCCTCTACACTCCTCCACTCTTCTCCTCTCTACTTCTCTGCTACTCCTCCACTCTGAATTCTCTTCCGCGATTCCTCCTCCTTTCCTCGGTCTTCACGTCACTACTCCTCCTCTTCCTCCTCTACTCTATTCCTCAACTCCACTAGTCCCCGCCCTATCAGCTACACCCAGCCCACAGCTGCCTCTCTGGCTAATGAGCTATGAGAGGGATAGGGGGGGAGAGAGTGAAAGAGACAACGAGAGAGAGCGAGAGCAGGACAGGGGAGCTATCCTCATTAATTAATTTTCGACCTCACTCATTGTTAACACTCACTGCTTTTGTTCATCTGCTCACCTGCTGCCATGCAAAGCTAACACATTAGCGTGACAGGCTAGCACATCTATCCACTTCCATTCACATTTGCCTGGCTGGCTGTCTCTCACACATGCCTGTGTGTGAGCACACACACACAAAACAAAGAATATATTGCTAACAAACAGTGCAGGGATAGAAATAAACACTCCTGGGTATTGCAGGTAGGATGTCTATACCTCACAGGGTCACACACACAAACATGATCTCACAAATCCTGTTTATCTTTCAAATCCTATTGTTATGATACCTAACAATACACACACAAAGAGGCAAAGCGCTTCCTAGCAGAAAATAGCAGAAACAATGCTCCACACACACACACACATGCACACACACACATGCACACACACACACACACACACACACACTGCCCTGTCTACATGCGCCGAGTCGCTAACCCTCATTTAGCCAGTTAGCAACAAAAGACAGGTGCCAGGGGACTGATGCTATTGTAGTGTGAGTGGGAGCAAATACACCTGTCCAATGAGATATACCCAGATTAGAACCTGCCTCTTCCGAACAACAAACAATTTATACAACTAATTGGAGGCTAGGTAGGGTCAGAGGTGGGTCATATAGTACCTTCCTTCTGTATAGGTGGGAGAAATCCACTTAGCCACATCTGCTTTCACTTTCACCAAGTCGGCCTCTCATCTGTTTCCCATTGATTTGTTTTGTATAGGCGGCTCCCTAGGGCCCCCAAAGAAATGTCTGGAGTTGCCAGGGCCATCTTCTGAAGTTGTGATTTAAACCAATTGAGGCCATTTTCTTTTAGGCTTGGGGCAAGTATAGTTCAGTATAGGATCACTGGTAGGAGAAAACATTGAGACAGTTGTCTGAGATAACTTGTTATCCACAACAGTGTTTTAAAAGCCAGCCGAATAGCACCTGGGTGGTTGAAATGGTTGTTGTTGAAATGCAGTTAGACATTTCAGCAACACCCATTTCAGTGAGCTCTCTAACTGCATTTTAACAACAACCATTACCACCAAGCAGTATCTAAACAAGCACACAAGCTTATTGCTCTTAAGGCTTTAGCTGGTCTGTCTGTCTTCATTGTCAACGTCTTGTCACTCTAGTGAGTGTGAAAACATGTTTAGAGGCGTTGTTGTTACATAAGAGGAAAAAGATGGGACAGTCACAGGGACTAGTGCCACGTTCAGGTGCTAGTCGGAACTTCCTATTTCACAGTTGTGATGTTGGAAATACAACTTCCCTTCATTCATGTGCTTTTTGGTCGGAACAATTCTTCAACCAATATGATTTTAGCTAGCTTGATAAAGCTTGCTAACATTGCTAATAATAAAGTTAGATAGCTTGCTTAACATTGACAATATGGTCAGACTAGCTACATTATCCATATTGATAAGGTTGTAATTGTCAAAAACAGATTTGTTGTCATCTTTTGGTTGAAAAGGTCAGTGGTGAAACTTCACAATGTGGGTAACAAAATGTTATCTGATCTGACTTGGAGGGTCATCCCAGCTAACTATTCTATGGAGAGAGAACGTTTTTGTAATGTTACCCGTCTTTCAATGAGAAACTCATTTTAATGAAATCAGACAAGTGTGTAACTGTTGCCAAATAATGACATTAACACATATTGCTAAGAATGGGACAGTAGGGTAACTGCTCTAGCGGGTCTCGAACCCAGGCCACTAGCACCAATGACAAACAACCTAACCACTGTCCCAATAAGGGATATCTCTACAGTATGTGCTTATTGGACCAGTATAGTTAGGCCCTGTCCAGAAGAAACCCTAACCCCTCCTCCCTAGGCACTTGTGTAGATCTGAAACAACTTGATAGGTGTAAGCAATAGAGTGAATGCACTTTGAAGTAAATCTCAGCTCTGTTAAAAGTACACTCAAGAAAATTCACTGAACAAAAATATAAATGCAACATATAAAGTGATGGTTCCATGTTTCATGAGCTGGAGAAAAAATAAACAGAAATGTTCCATACGCACAAAAAGCTTATTTCTCTCAAATGTTGTGCACTCATTTGTTTACATCCCTGTTAGTGAGCATTTCTCCTTTGCCAAGATAATCCATCCACCTGACAGGTGTGACAAATCAAGAAGCTGATTAAACAGCATGATCATTACACAGGTGCACCTTGCGCTGTGGACAATAAAAGGCCACTTTAAAATGTGCAGTTGTTTCACACAACACAATGCCACAGATGTCTCAAGTTGTGAGGGGGCGTGCAATTGGCATGCTGACTGCAAGAATGTCCATCAGAGCTGTTGCCAGAGAATTTAATGTTCATTTCTCTATCATAAGCGTAGTTTTAGAGAATTTGGCAGTACGTCCAACCGGCCTCACAACCGCAGACCACGTGTAACCACGCCAGCCCAGGACCTCCACATCCGGCTTCTTCACCTGCAGGATCGTCTGAGGAGGGGTGAGGGTGCTGATTAGTATTTATGTCTGTAATAAAGCTATTTTGTGGGGGGAAACTAATTCTGATTCGCTGGGTCTGGCTCCCCAGTGGGTGGGCCTATGCCCAACCATGGCTGCACCCCTGCCCAGTCATGTGAAATCCATTGATTAGGGCCTAATGAATTTCTTTCAATTGACTGATTTCCTTATATGAACTGTAACTCAGTAAAATCTTTGAAATTGTTGCATGTTGCGTTTATATTTTTGCTCTGTATATTTTATTGATCATAGTGATTCAGGACTATCATTAAAACAGGTTAATTTGCCCCACCAACATTGGACAACTATACAGAAAGCCATTAAATTGCTGAAATAAGTAAATAAAATCAATGAGAGAATAGTCAGATTAATTACTGATACCTTACACAGACATGTTGGCGTAACATGAATATCAGAATATCATGAACCGAGAGGTTGTGAGTCCAAATCCCAGGTGAGGTCATGTTGAATAATAATTACTTATTAATTGAACAAGCACAATGTAATCATGTATGTCAAAGTGTGTCAAATATGTAAATTGAAAAAACACTGTGTCTTAAAAGCACTGTGTGTGTGAGTATCCCTAACCTTGCCAACAGACAAAGAGCTGTGAATGGATCAGTGATTCACCTATCAGGGCCTTGATTGGCTTGGCAACAGTAACATGATGTGTAATGATTTTTTTGGGGGGGACACAAACGTTTTGGACACATTCCCATGAAACATATATTATGTTCTGAGAACATGGCAACTATATTCTGTGTAGGTTTGGTGGGACATTGATGGAATATTATTTTAACCCTCCCAAAACTGGACAAATTAATTTTCTTGAAACGCTCCCATAAAACATGTCTATGACATTAATATCTTATATTCTGAGAACATGGCAACCATGTTCTGTGTATGTTTGGTAGGACGTTAATGGAATATTCTCCTAACCCACAGAAAACTGGACACATTGATGTTCTTGCAACGTTCGCATGAAACGTGTCTAGAACATTAATACCTTCAGTTCTGAGAACATGGTTACCCGTTCTGGGTAAGTTCTATTTTACATTAAGGGAATGGTCTCTTGGAAAAATTCCTTGCACATCAAGGGAACATTCCTATGAAAACGTTAGTTAATGACCTAATGAGACTCTTAAGGGAACGTTCTCTAAATTTGTGGGAACGTTTGTTGTTAGCTGGGATTCAAGTGAAATTTCCCACTGGGAACTAGGCTTTCTGATAACTCCGATTGCACGTGAAAGCGGCAATCCCTCAAAAAGACAAATTGGTGCAATAAAATACCAGGTCAACTGTGCAGGAGGCCTAAAGGCTAGACATTCAATATGTACTCAACTGTCAAAGGAAGTAACAAAAAATGTCCAAGAAAGGTAGCCTCCCTCGAAAATATGTAATTTGTGTGCGTAGTTTTGTGGGCAAAAACCACAAATTGCTGTGCGTAATTTGTTGGGAAAATCCAGAATTATAATCCGAATAAATATAATTAATTTGAACGTGCCTGGATTTTGCTGAATGCTCAAAACTGTCCCATCTTTGCCAATTTCTTCACCTTGAACGGAGCCTCCCAGACTAAAAGAGACTTGGCTCACTGCCCACATTACTTGTGCAAGTTGTGACATCTTCGAGTCCAAGTGTCAACATTTATTTATTAAATTAGTCCCGCTTGAAGCCACAGTCCTTACCTGATGTGTCCCACATGTTCAGCTCAATCCTCTGTTTCTCGATCTCGAAACTGGCCGTGTAGTTCTCGAAGACAGTAGGGACATAATTCTGAAAAGAAACATTTCAAATGGCACAATGAAAACCTATATCTGCCCAATGATTCAAAATGATACCATGTTCCATTCCTACTCATCTCGGCGGATAAAGTCTGGTCTAGACCTATTCCTCTATCACATATCACATGTAGGCTATGTGCATATGGCATGCACCAGATGAATTCTGAGCCAATTCTAAAACACACATGACCAGCTAGAATGTATAGGGCTAAGGCAAAATTTGTGTCATTAATTAAAAAGATGTGCCATAGATTGAGGCTATTGATCCTAGGCTATAGACAGGATCTCAAGCCTAAAAACTTTAGAATCCTTTAATTGTTATAACATCATTTATGGAGAAGGCTGACAAATATTTTTAAAAATTAAAATAATGACTTATTTATTACAATCGGTCAAACTTCGTAATACAACCGCCATAACTTACCTCTGGGTACGAGTCTTTGGCGAAGACATGAAGTAATGCCGTTTTATTATATGAGGAACTGCTCGCAATCCACTCAATGGCCTTTGGACACTGTGAATGATGACCCACTGACGGGAGAGGTTGTGGGTAAGGAGGTAAGCTTGGCTTCTTATATGGTGTTGAGTAAAGCTTAAACCATGTATTTACATTGTAGGTAGGTATTGTAGTTAGGTATTATAGGTAGTTTACTCAGGTAGTTATTGTAGGTAATTATTGTAGGTAAGGACTGTATTCGGCGGACCCCGGCGAAGCACGAGGCTAGCTTACCCACTACTTGGACCAACAAAGCTAGCTAGCTAGCGGGTAGCTACCGGTAACT